TCTATTGGCGATCCACTTGTGTTTCAAAGGGAACGAAGGCCGTCAAATGCATCTGAAAAAGATAAGAGGTGCAAGAGCTCAAAGAGTCACATTGAATCTTTATGTTCTCTGGATATGACATCCAAGCCCCATGCCCTAGGATTGACTCTGCACTATCCAAATCACACGCCTTTCTTTCCCGCCTTTAAAACCATGCTCTCGATGAGCCTTTCGAATACAGCGCATGTCCCATGAAAGGCGTGATTGTGAACCACGGCTTCTCTGGAACTGACTATATATAAATAACAGTTACGATTCCACCCCACCTGTAACTGGGAATTGAATGATTTTGAGTCAGCAAATAGCTGCCCATGGCTTTTCAGTACCGGTCTTCACCTTCCTACCTGCAACTTCAAGCTGGCGTTACTGGTTTATTCTCAGTCTTTTAACCCCTCTTCCCCCTGCCCACACATCTCCACTATATTTCAGTTATTACTTTGATATTAGAGCTTTTAGGGCTTAATTTAAAAAAGGCCTCTGCAAAATTTTCCAACCAATTTTTTGATTACAACACGCAAAATTATCTCTAGGCAAATGGGATTGTTGCAGATTCGTCAATCGTGGATTAAGGAATGCTGCTAGTTCCAGCACTACTGCTTCTAAGAAGAAAAGGGCAGGACTTTTTTTCAGGAATCGTTGCTCTGCGACTGCAATGTCTGCTAGTGTACGTAGCAATAGTAGCAGATCAGCTGATCTTTCTTCAACCTGGGGCAAGAAATTGGTTTGGATCTGGACAGAGAATAAACAAGTCATGACCACAGCCGTGGAGAGAGGCTGGAACACTTTCATTTTCCCCTCAACTTGTCGCGACTTAGCCACTGAATGGTCATGTAAACCACACATTCTCTATCTTGCAATGTTTGATTTTTTTTAATTTTCCTTATATTCACTTTTGTCTATGTTTGTTAAATCCTGATTCTTCTTACAAAAGATTTGATTGATTTAATCTTCGAATTTCATGTTCGGCCAATGCGGTTCTGCTGTTTTCATTATTGGGTTAGGAATGTTGTTGGCACGTGTTGTATTTACTTCTTTTGTGAACAGTTTTTTTTTTTTTTTTGCTGATTTGAAATGTGCAGCAATTGCATTCATATGCCCTCTCTTCATTGAAGGGGAAGAGGTTTTGGACAGTGAGAGCAAAAGAATTGCGGCATTCTCTGATATTACCTCTCCGCAGCAATTAGAGAAGCTCCAATCATGGGATGACCTAGCACAGATTGTTGTTGTTAATCTCCTGGATTGGCAGGTCAACTAGTCAGTTTCTCTTCTCAGGAGTGGAGTCTTCTTTTCTGTTCGGCGTGCTCTTATTAGTCAATTGTTTGGTTTTTAGCAAAAGTAACTTAAAAAATTAAATTCTATTTTCAAAACAAAGTAACCGATTCTTGTTTGCAATGCTCTTTTCTCATTCGTGTTTTAGGTGATACCTGCAGAGAATATTGTTGCAGCTTTTCAAGGATCTCAGAGAACGGTGTTGGCTATCTCGAAAACACCATCTGAAGCTCAGGTTTTTCTTGAGGTAGTGCCTTACTGCCTTAAATTTGTTGACCTTTTTGGTTTTCATGCAATTTCTTTTTTCTTCAATGGATACAGCATATTTTCATGTAAGATTTTACTTAGTAGGCCTTGGAGCATGGTCTGGATGGTGTAGTCCTAAAAGTTGACGATGCAAAAGCCATACTGGAGTTGAAGGTAATAGCTAATATTAGTGTTTTTCTTAATGTGGCCCTGATCCTTATAGTGGCATACATTATCAGGACTACTTTAACAGAAGAAATGAAGCTGATACTCGCTTGAACTTGACCAAGGGCACTGTCATGAATGTTCAAATGGTTGGAATGGGTGACCGTGTTTGTGTGGATCTGTGTAGCCTCATGAGACCTGGTGAAGGTCTTCTGGTTTGATCTCGGTCTTGTGTCTCAAATATAACTGCCGTCTGATAGTACTGTTGACAATTTTCTTTCCTATATTAGAATGTTGTTCTTACTGCAGAATATTCTTAACTAAGGTTGGCTCATTTGCGAGAGGGCTCTTCCTTGTCCACTCAGAATGCTTAGAGTCAAATTACATTTCTAGCAGGCCATTCCGGGTTAATGCAGTAAGTTCTGGCTTGAATTGTTCAGATTTTTGGAGAGAGAGCAAGGCGAAAGCAGATTTACCATTCAACCTTTTCTTTACTCAGTTGTCGTTGTAAAATTTTGGTGAAGTAAGAACATCAAATTCAGCTTTTGATTTCCGGTTTCAATTGTAAATGCATTTTCTCAAGAAAGCAACTTTTTGAAGCTTAATTATATTAGTTAGAGGACTAAGGTTGAACTTCATCCCTATCCTTGATTCCAGCTGTGCTTGCTCTTTCTTTTATCTAAATACAGAACTGAGTAGGTAAGTTCACCCAATGTCAATGCTAATAGTGTGATTGGATACTATTAGGGTCCAGTGCATGCATATGTTGCCATTCCTGGAAGCAAGACTAGCTACCTCTCAGAATTAAAAACAGGAAAAGAGGTCATTGTGGTCGATCAATCGGGAGTGCAACGAACTGCTATTGTTGGTCGTGTAAAGATAGAGAGTAGGCCATTAGTTCTTGTGGAGGCAAAGGTTTGTATCCATATCTTATCATAACAAGGCTTTCATTCAACTTTTAGTGAGGCCACGGAATAATAGTTTAATATCATTCCACATTTTGTCCAAATAATTCTCTGCAAGCTAGTTCATACATTACCATCCGGTCGCAGCTGCTAAGCAGAGGCTTTCATCCATGAGTTGCATTCACGTTTAGACAACAAAAAATCAACCCTTTAGATCAAATTACTCGACGCATAGGTATAAATAGTTGATCTAGTTAGCTAGACTTGCTTGAACATGAATAAAGGAGAAATTTTCAATTATAGTGCAGTACTGTGGTTGACTCTTATTTAGAGAATAGATGTCCTGAGGCTCCTGAATACCCGTATACTTGAGACTTTAACAATAATCTGACAAATCCGATCAAGAAGGGTCTTTTAAAGAGTTAATAGTAAGCTGCACAGAATGGAAATATCATGTTTTTCTTTGGTTCTTGTAAAGATTCAACAAGGAAGAATGAATATATCATGATTTAAACTTAACCTCCAGTTTACTAATTGATGGAAAAGAATAAGAAAATAAAAAAGTTACAGTTTTCTTATAACAGTATACCATAAGAAAGATCACCAATCAGCTTACCTGCATTGTTAACATTGTTTAATAGATTTTGACTATTGGATAATGTCCTGCCGCAGGGAGATTCAGAGAATAAAACTTGCAGCATTCTTTTACAGAATGCTGAAACAGTTGCATTAGTCTCCCCGGTTGGAGGTGAATCTTCATTTTTTTCCCCCAATGTGTTGGATCTTCTGTTTGCCCTCTATTTTTGAAACTTATTATCTGTGCAATCCATATAACAGGAGAAGGATGTGGAGAAACAGCAATTCCTGTGACCTCATTAAAAGTTGGAGATGAAATTTTGCTGAGCGTGCAGGGAGATGCTCGGCATACTGGAATAGAAATAGAAGAATTCGTTGTGGAAAAATAAATATCTTGATGAATATTGAATTTATCGAAAAGTTGGGTAGATGCTTGAACTTTGTTTTTTGGATCAGAATTGTACTATAATCCATCCGCATCTAATGGCTCATCGATGTTCTTTCCTTCTCCGGCCAAAAGAAGATAAATCCAACATTCCGTGTGAAATCAATAAACAAGCTATATGGAACAAAAAAGGTTTCCCGATCTTCATGTAGGAAAAGATAGAAATGTTGGAGGGACATTTCTCAGTGTTCTCTAGATTCTGCAGCAAGTGAAGAAAGTCCAGGCAGAAAAGCTGCCCTAGTGATACAAGTGTGGTGGAATAAGTGAATAACTGCCCTGTGAGTTGGTAGACTTATAGGGACAACAGTCAATGTTTATCTGTCTCTGTAGCGTATTTCTTGGTATAGCCATGTATCGATACAGAATAGGGGCATGGACAACTCGTCCATGGCCGTTCACGGTTGTAATTCACCTTCTTTGCAGTTTAATTTTTCGGAGTTAACGACGGCTGTTAGTAAGGGGATGACTTGCAGCATTGGAATCTCTGGTTAGAGAACTTGGAAGTGCAGTCTTTCAAAGAATATGTGCGTGCGATATCCCTTCGGCTGTGCCGGGAGGTTGCATGAATAAAGGCCTTGTGCGCAATTGAAGTCGTGACTTTTTACGTCTTCCTGCCTTTGGTTGGATATTAGTGAAATCGTGTTCTTTGTTGTAGCCGCTTCAAAGTAGATTACCGCATTAAAAAAGGAATAACACGAAATAGCCATCATTTCAGACATTTAGTTTGAAAAAACCAAGATCATCAAGTCAATTTCTCATTGCGGTTATGTGATCCTGATGGATTGGCTTTTTTTTTTTTTCTTTTTTTTTCTGATGGAGTGGGTGTCCGGGTCAATCCTTACGGGATCCGACTAATCCCACTCCGGCCCGGGAGGAGAGGCTCCATCCCCCCGAACACGATAACCACGGAACTCGGACCCTTGCGGGCACTGGACACCAGCTCCAAAGGAAGCTTGCTGAGACCAACCGAGTTGCCCATGAGGGGCAAGCAATTTAGTGGGAAGTAAAGGTTGAACCCCTGACCTCCCACCCCACTAAGAGAGGTGGTGGCTACTGAGCTAGAGCTCTGTGGTTAGATGGATTGGCTAATAAGTGGTGGTTTCTTGGTGAATTCTGAAAACCTCTGCGACTTATCCGGGCATTTTTTTGATCCTTGACCGTTTTCCAAACTTTAAAAGCACATTCAGCATTGTTCGCCCAAAAAAAAAAAAAATGTATACACTATTGAATCCGAATGCATGCTACATGTGTAGAATTTGAAATTTAAACTCAAATTCAAATTATATGGCATACATTCAATCGCTAGTGTATACATTGCTAATGTCAGAAAAATTAATCAAAAAGAAAAAGAAGACTAAGCACATAAGACGACAGTCTTTCTTCAGATATTTTTGAACGGTAGGAAAGAGTGCATGTAGCTACAAGTTTGGCCATGCTGCATGTCTCAGGGTTACCTTTCCCGAATTATTTCAAATGAGCTAAACAACTGTGAAAGGAACACCAAAAAGAGGAATGCGAGTGTCAGGGGGAGAAAAACTAGAAAAAAAAAGAAGTGAAAGCTTTTTACACAAGTGTCAGAATTAGTTAGCATAAGAAGAGCACATATCAATGGGCAGAATGGGATGTGGCTGTGCCTGTCTTCTTGAAGTCTATCTTGTCAACCTTCACTTCTCCATCAATGAGTTCGTAGACATAAACCACCACGCGAAGGCCATCAATATCCATGAGAACAAAACTTGGATTCACATCATAAGTGATGCTGCTATAGGCACCAGTGGCTGATCCGGGATTTATTACGACTCCAGCCTCGTGCTTGTAGGCCTTGAACTGGTGGGTATGGCCAGTAACCAGAATGTCCACATCTAGCTGTCTCTGAAGCATGGCAAGTGAATCAAGGTCTCCCCAAGGCACAACCTTTGAATGTGAAAGACAAGATTGTTAATCAGTAAGAATACAGTGAAACAGATAAAAGAAGCCCATTAAATCAATTGATAAAAGCAAACAGTTGACAATCAGAAACAGAAAAGTGGCAACAGCATGGTGTTCTAAACTAATTAATATCATCAAAAGACCAACTTAGAACGGCTAATTCTAGGCAAAACTCAGATGGGAGTGCAAAGAGAGGCCTTTGCTTATTCCGCAAGGTCAGTTCAATTGGAAGTCTTCAGAGATGTGCAGCCATTAACGCAATAGCAGAGTTTTCAATTTTTAATTGGGATGTGTTGCCAACTTTATTTTGTGCAAATGAGAGACTAATAGCGTCTCCAAGTTGCTGAACAGTCCCATCACAATTTACAGCAGTCAAGCAAAAGTATATGATCAGTAACATTGTATAATCCCAATCCATCAACCTCTTGTTCCCCGAGCAGGAGAGAAAATAAAAGGGAGGAGAACAGTAGAACCAAAAAGAAAAATGAAAAGACACTGCAACCTTCAGAGGGATCAAACACTACATTCCTAAGGTGCAGAACCCACCGAACGCAACGTACAGTGCTCTAAAAAACTATACGTAAAGCTGGTAGAATTCCCAGAACCATTTTAAAAGGTACAATGTAGGCAATAAAACGAAACCTAACCTGGTGACCATGGCATAGCCCAAGCTTAAATTGTCCAATTGTAAGTGTTTTTGTCTCTGGATATCGAGCATCTTCATCATATTCACCTCGAGTAATGTGTAAGCTTGGGCAAAGGTTCTTCAGGTAATCATGAACTTCCTGATCATGGAAAAAATTATCATCAAGTATGCAACAATGCAAGACGACAAGATCTAAGCTTCCGAATCCTTGTCAGTGAAGATCAGGTAAATTTAAAATTCCAGCAGAACTATAACGTCCCTAGAAGAATCAAATAATATCACATGAAAAATCAGTCTAGAACTTCCCATCAGGCTCAAACATAACTAAGATTAATATTTAGATTGGGCCAACTGTGCCTTTCTCATAGCTTTAGGCTTCAAGTTCATAGGATCAGGAATTTCAGAATCAAGCAGCATTAACTAGTGGCTACTCCAAAACGAAAGAAGAGAAAAAACCATCAATTTGTTTGAAGGAGCAAACAATTTGTTGGGATCTCCTAGAAACAATAATTTGTCGGGATGCCAAAGGAACCAACAGTTTGTCTGAATGAAAGAACTTTCAAGCCCAAGCTCCTGAAGAATTCTAAGAACTGTTCCCAAAGTCTCTACAGAATATTCAACTTATAAGTCAGCTTCAGTTTTCCTATTGCAGAGCATAATTTACTGTTGAAAAGGCATCAGTTCACAAGAAATCAGATTACCATCCTGTAAGAAACCGTTTCAAGACGGGGAAAGACATATACAACTCCCTGGAATATACAAAGGTAGTCCCATCAAGGCCTTCACGCCTTGATAGATAGTAAGGTAGAAACTGATTCGCACAATAGTGTATGGCCTCATTATTGGACAAAACTCGTATGACTGTGAATCATACAAGCATGATTGACATCATACTCCTCTAGGAAGAAACAATGAATCCTTCTTCGCGAGAAGCTATGAAGTGAGATAAATACAGATTTTTGGGGTATAGAATGCGTGCATCATGAGCAGATTGTTGATCATTAGTTCATTGAGAAAAAAGATACTAGTCGCAATTTGACACAAAACATACTGCATTACAATTCACAACCAAAGTAACATCATTCAAGTAAATATGCAACCAGATGGAAAGTAGCCCGTTATCAATCTTAATACGAATGAAAATATGAGTAACATAGCAGAACTCTGCTTCAAGTGCCAAACATACTCTATCTACCGCACTCGCAGTACTTCAGAAACGATGTGGTTTACTTTAGAAAAGATGGATGGGACCGAAGGAGGGTGCAGAAAGTTAAGGAATAGCGCAGAGTTACTTTGATACAGAGATTGCCAGTGCAAATGATGTGTTGAATCTTGCCAGGAACAAGCATGGACTTGAATTTTGCTGGAAGATCAGGAGCTCTATACGGGACGTGGAGATCCCCAATCGCCAATACCAGCACCATCTCTTTCCTTGCAATTTAAATGTTTTCCTTTGAACCCAACTTTTTCAATTCTACAGAAGTCGAACTACAAGACAAGATGATTAAATTAGGTATCAATTTATCAGACGCCCGACGTAATCAGCTAACTGAATTAGCACTGTACACGCACACCCAAATCCCCCAATCCCAGAATACGCCTGATAACTTTATTAGCATATGATCGCGTACAAATATAGTAAGTAGTTAGTATGTGATCTTCAATTATTAGTAGCCTAAAACTGCTGCGGTACCAAAGGAATTTTTATGCTAAGTGTATGAAAAGTTAATGAGAGTCGATTAAATGAAATTATATATATATATATAAAAGTAAAGGGGCACGCATTACCTGAAGCTGAACAAGTGTCTGGAAATTGACAAAGTAGGTCTCTGTTTCAAAGTGTCTTCGATAACGACGATGGCATTCGCAGGGAATGGATACTGAGGAGGGAGAGAGAGGGGGGGGGGCCCGATTCACATCAAAACATTGCGTTTGAGAGGGATCTATGGATGGAGAGACTGTCGTCTGTCTAAACTCCACGCTACTCTATTACCGCCGGAATCATGGCTCCAGGCGACCGCCTTTTATAATTGCGCATTCGCTCCTGTCACTTGCCGACCGCCGGAATCATAACTTTTTAAGAGGGTGTAAGTATTTGCACTCCAAAAAAAAAGCCCTAAGTATTTTATCCTTCATTTTGTTATTTAATGAAATGGCACAAAAATCTATCATATATTCTAAGAGACATATTATAGTCCCTCTCCATATTCACCAATTACTTTTATCTCTTCAATTCCCTTAGTTTTCCCTCCTCTTAAATTAGTTTTAAGTTCCTATACAACTAATAATAAAGAAAATTCCTAATAACGATGATTTTTAAAAATGCTCTGTTTATATGAGTTGTTTCATAGTCCTTGAAACAATGTCAAATGAATTTTAACAACATATAATATCGCCATTCCAGAGAAAGCTCCTCACACTGAATCCTTATTATTGTTAAAAATGACTTATAAACTCATAGTCTAGACTAAAAGACTAGTTTAAAGGTGTCATTATGATTTTGGCCAAAGAGTGGTGGTTGCCAAGGGCACCATTGGTGGCACAACCTATTGCCGACTCTGACTATTTCTCCATAAGGTTTAGATTTTTTTTTTTTTATAACAAAACGGATGGAGGAAGAAGACTAAGAAAAGGATGGAAGAAAATTTTAATTTCATAGCCTTCAAAAGTAGGTATTTTGGGTCATTTTAATATCCAGGATTTCTTAAAATATTTTGCATATACATCCGTTTAAGTTGGTAATAGTTCAGTTCTCGTCGAGTTATCCCTTGATTGGATCCCTCTTCCCCTAACATAGAATAGGAGTTAGTGTAGTATAAAATCTAATTAAAAAAAAGGACATTGATCACATAATTTTTGCTGATGTCACCAAAAACAAACGGTCAAACGTGTGTTGACTAACGGTAAAGGAGTCTTTGTTACAGATTTGTGTATATGGGGTTCATTTTGTTATTTGATCAAACCTCGGCGATTGATTAATAGTTTGGCTAAACCTCAAGAGAGATAAATATAATAAACCGTTTTCGAAAGGTTTGGACCTGGATTAAGTAGGATCTAAAATCTATCCAAACCCATGATCTTTTAAATGTGACAACGTTCACTTTCAAATAGAGGTGTTAATTACAATCTAATTACATTAACTCGCTCAAATCCGTCTACCAATAATCCATCCAAACCTACCCATTAATTTTGAACTAGTCTAAATGGGTACCCAAATAAATTTAAATTTCTTATCAATCTAATAATAATAAATACCATTATTTCTTGTCAAACAACATACCAAAAACAAAAAAGAATTTTAAGTGACTTATAAATGGATAATTGAGTATTACCCATATCCATTTATTAAATGAGTATCCATTTTTACCCATTTATTTAAATAGTTATAAATGTATTGACCCAATTATAAATCGTCCATTTTGACATCTCTACTTTTAAGCTACTCAGCCATCAATCATTCACATGGACGTCTAAAAAAGAAAAAGAATCGGCCCTGCAAAATGGAAAATATTATGATCTTAGAAACCTGGAAGTTAAAAGCCTCCACAACCTCCTGTAAGCCTATCTAATTAGCATGCGGATTCCTAGAAGCAAGAGGAAAGGGGGAAAAAAGAAAAGGAAATGACAACCAAATTATTAAACCAGAACTTAACAAATAACAATCTTGTCTTGAACGGGAAGGTGACTACAAAATTGCTTCAGAGTCATCAACATGTGCTGTGCTCGATCGAACCATACACAATTCTTGATTCTCTCATCAGTATCTGACCCCGATTTCATATTCCAACAAAAGAAAAGTAATCTAGAAACCCCTTCAGCTGAGGGCAAAAGAGAGAGACTCATTTGCAACTTTCAGGTTCACCAAAAATTTCAACTTTACAAATTCCACCTCAACGGACAAGAGATGTATCAAAGTAACAGAGAAGGGGGGCCACGAACATTAACTCAAGGTTCTAGTATTCTAAACCTTTGGTTTTGGCGATCTATGCAGATTGTTCTCGTGACAGGGAGAAGCCTGTGGACGATTTGGTGTGGAGAGGGTCGGGTTTTGTTGCCCATTCTTTTCTGGTAATGCTGCCTGAACTCTACCACCGTTTTTAATAGCTTGAGTAATACTTGCTCGCTCAGCTTGAAGGGCCTGAAAGTAGGACGAGGAACAGGCCATATCCTTCAGGTCAGGCAGAGGCTTTAAGACTTCAACTACTTCACTCATCAAAGGTCGGGCTTTAGCATCACGGGTGAGGCAATGAGCAGCCAACTGAACTGCCTTCTGCGCACCTCTGATTGAGAACTGCCCTTCAAGACGGGGATCTATCAGCCTATAGAACCTACGCCTTTCCCTCAGATAAGGCCTCGCCCATTCGACCAAATTATGTTCTCCATTTGGTCTGGTTTTATCCATAGATCTTCGTCCAGTAAGCATTTCAAGTAAAACCACTCCAAAGCTGTAGACATCACTTTTTGATGTGAGATGTCCTGGCACAAAGAAAGAACAGTCTTAACATATATGACAGAATATTAACATTAGATTATTAGTTGAAATCTATACAAAAGGCTAGGGTTAATGAAGATAAGAATACCCTAAGATTGCTTGCATATCTTGAGATTTTGTAAAGTAATTCAGATTTAAATAGCAAATGAGCTTTGATTTAGCTATAATAGGTATCAACTGTGCATTAAAGGAGTAAGTTTAAGGCAGATAAACAACAGAAGCATGGACGTCAATGAGCAGAATCCACGCACGAGCCACAAGGAACCTAAAAACAAGAAAAATAACCACCCTCCAGAAGCGGCTAACTTTGATTATTTTCTCTTTTGCTGGTTCAGTCGCTAATAACAGATGAAAATATCAAACGGGATTTGAAACTACATTATATAGAAGGGCGTGCTTTCTTGATAGAGGAAATGCAATAATATTACACAGGAGAATGTCTTTCCTAAGATACATACACTTCCATGCGTGCTTATATTTTGTTAACAAAAAGAAGTTAATAACATTCCTTTTAACAGATCAGTTCAAAGTAACCTAATCATCCCTGAGCATTAAGTGTTAATTTAAAAACACGAACATGTCTACCCTATCAAGCCTTATATCTCGTATATTCAAGTGCTGGGGTCAACAAATTCATAACATATGCGACAAAGGGCTTCCGTGATACATCAGAACAATCTTTGATAGGACTTCATTATTACTAAGAAGGCATTCTTTCCTTTAATTACCTTATTTAATGATTTGATTCAGCCATCTGATATAGTAATAAAAAATAAAAAAAATAGAAAAGAATAATTGCATGGGTTGTTTATCCACGGCCAATCCTTTCAGGAAAATGCCTTCTCAAAATTAAAGTAACAGTAAATGATTAAGCAGTTCATGGTTATGGAACTGCCATGCAGGAGGATAGAAATTGGCCAGCATCAGACTTGTAGCAAACTTGAATAGCATGCTTCAAGGGCAGCCTATATACACCAGAAGGACACAATTTATACAAATAACCATATCTTGCTTAACAATATTGAGTTAGATTAAGACATAAAAATGAGAGAGTGAAGATATATTAACAAAACAGGGAGAAAAAAGTGAAAGAAAAATAATGCTGCAGATGCAACTTATTCAAGCTCACCTGTCATGACATATTCAGGTGCAGCATAACCATAAGTTCCCATGACCCGTGTGGATACATGAGTCTTATCCCCCTCTGGGCCATCTTTGGCCAGTCCAAAATCGGAAAGCTTAGCATTGTAGTCCTTGAACAAATTTCCGAACAAACACTTAGAAAAAACATGGAAATAAAACAACAAAGTCAATTCCTACCCTTGAGAGTTTAAGACATTTACCGCATCCAATAAAATATTAGATGTTTTAAAATCTCGATATATAACTGGCCTTTCAGCTTCTTCATGAAGAAAGGCAAGTCCTTTCGCTGCATCTAGAGCAATTTTGATTCTGGTAGACCAAGGAAGAGGAAGAGACCCTACAGGACATGGAGCAGAAGGTGAATTACAGAGAACAACATACTGATTAGAGATAAAAAATTTTGAGTACAATTTCATACATACAAACAAGAGCTATTCGTAATCTATGATTCTGTCATGGAAAGAAGAAAACAGAGAAGAAAGGATCAAAATAAGCAGAAAATAAACTTTAAAAGTGGGTGGTGGCAGAATTATTTTCCACTGTTACTTCCTCAAGGAGGCGGCCTTTTTCTTTTTGTGGCAGCTGAACATTCCAAGTTAGGGTTTCCTCTTTTTTAAGTTTCCATAAATTTTAGCATGTGTCACAATCCAAAACCAAGCACTTCTCTAGGCTGTAATGTATTTTCTATTCAGCATGCATGAGGATATGCTAGTTATACTAAAGCAGTCGGTACATGGCCTTTAAGCTCATATAAAACATTTATACTGATCATGCATCAGCATGCAAACTTAAGCATTATTAGCTCATTGATAAATCCGTCTCAATCAATTTTTTTCCAGACTGAAGCAAAAGCGTTACATATTTATTGATTGATCAATCTTTATACACGAGACAAAAATGTTTAAAGAATCAACACACAGTTTACGATGTGATAAAATGACGTATGCCATAGGTTTACTTACCAACTTAGTGATAAGAAAATATCATTTACAGAAAGAGCTAGCTCAAAAAATGTATCTGCGGAGAATATGAGTAACTTAGAGAAATAACAACATACGTACTTCTAAACAAGTGATTCTCCAAACTTCCCCGAGGCATAAACTCATAGACAAGCAACCTTTGATCACCTTCTATGCAATATCCTATCAATTTAACCAAATTAGGATGGAGGAGGTCACCTAGATAATTTACTTCAGCCTGACAAATGAGGATGGATGGAATGTGAAGAGATGAAAAATTAGTAGAAGAATAATCCCAGAGAAAATCAACAAATATCTAGTATCATACCAACCACTCCTTGTGACCCTGGAGTCCATCATGATTCAGGGTTTTTACTGCAACAGTGAGCCCTGAACCAGGTTTCACAGGAGTTGGACCATTTTCATTGATCCAACCTTTATAAACACAACCAAAGCCACCCTCACCAAGGAGATTATCTGGTCTAAAACTTCTTGTTGCAGACTTCAGCTCATTAAAGGCAAAC